GAGCTAGAAGAAATCATGTTAAGTGAGGTAAGCCAAGAGCAAAAAGACGAATAGCACATGGTCTCCCTGATAAGTAGATGTTAAACCCAAAATGTAAGGTGATAGGACAAAGTTAATAAGGCTTAAGAAACAAAGGACTTCCACTCATCTGGTCGAACCACTACTAAATAGCCCCATGCTGCTGATCACATATATGGTATATATGTGCACACCGGAGGGAAACCAGGAGGATGACACAGAACTGGAGGGAATCAGGAAAAACATACAACAGTGAGACCCATCAGCTGCCCTGAACATTGACCAAAATGAACTAAGCAACTCAATGGCAGCGATGGGAGGGAGGGAACAAGTGGGAAAGAGGGAACAGCTGACGCTATGCAAAACAAATGAAATGTACATATCACCCAATGTGGAAGAAATAACTGTATTGCAAAGCTCATAGAACTCATAATTGTTATAGACCATGATAGACAATTTGCCCCATGAAAGTTAGAATGTGCTTGAGACTTAAACTAAGCATCACTATCCCACAATGCTGTGAAATTTGGGAAATTATGTAACCACTTAATCACAATAAAGAATTTGAAAAAAAAGGATATCATTATGTGTTTTCTTTGCCATTCTTACCTCTTCTCCTGAGGAAGAAGAGCATGTGAGGAAATGCTCATCATCCCTGGCCCTAAAAGAAATGCAAATCAAAACAACCCTGAGATTCCATCTCAACCCAGTTAGATTGACCAACTTTGTGAATTTGAACAACAAATGTTCATGGGGATGTGGGGAAAAGGGAACCCTATCGCACTGTTAGTGTGATTGTAAACTAGTGCAACCACTTTGGACAGCAGTCTGGAGGGTCCTCAAACAACTAACATGGATATGACCCAACTCTACCACTCCTGGACATCTACCTAGAGTACCACAATCAGGAAACCATAAAGACATTTGCACATCCACACTATAGAATATCCAAGACATGGAAACAGCTCAGATATCCTACAATAGATGAATGGATCCAAAAGATGTGGTACCTATACACAATGAAATTTTACATAGCCTTTAGAAGAAATAAAATTATGTCATTTGCAGGGAAATTAATGGAACTAGAAAATCATGTTAAGTGAGTAAACCAAGCTCAGACAAACAATACATGTTTGTTTCTGATATGCATAAATTAGATCTAAAATACACTGGGATATGATAAATTATACAGGATTCTAGATACTCACACACAGTAAGACCAAAAGAGGATATTCTTAGGGGAGAAACACAAAGTTGTAATGCCTATGTGCTTCTATATATTTACATAAAATAATATATATATCAAAACTAACCCCAAGATATGAAAACAAGAGATGATTCTGTCTTCTTTTATTATGTATGGTTTATTTGCATCTATATCATTGGGAGGGCTGGGGGGAGGGCACAGAACTTGAGGGTAAAAGAGTGAAAAAGTGCAGCAGTGGAGCTCATTGGACACTGATGAAGGAACTATGCAATTTGTGATTGGAGATGGGAAGAGGGACTGGGAGTGAGTGAGGGAAGGGAAGATTTTGTACAAAAGAAAATGTGTTCATCTGACTTACGTAATTGTAATCCCTCTGTACATCACCTTTATAATAATAATAATAAAGTAAATTTTAAAAAGATATCATCAAATTGTCATGCTTAGAGAGTATACAGAATGGAGAAAGGGTTAAAATGATGTCACAAGGGTATTTTCTCCAAATTTTAGAATGGGTGACTTATTACCATTTCCTCAACCATCCCAGGAAATCAAAGGGGAGGTGAGGAAGATATTTCTTCTTTCTCTTCTGCCTTCTATGTGAATCATGTTTTTTTTATAAGGAAGTTTTGCATGGACTTAGCTCCTGCTGGGCAGTTATATCTCTTCTTGTTTCGTTCAGGGCCATGCTCATTTATATAAAAGATTTTATTAAGAGTGTAACTGGGTAATAAAGAGCTTGCTAATCATGCACAGGGCATAGTTCCATCCCAAGAACCACAAAGAAGAACATTTAAAAACATTTATTTTTTATTGTTATTATAAAGGTGATGTACAGAGACAATAGTTACATAAGTTATGTAAAGAGTACATTTCTTTTTGGACAATTTCACTTCTTTCCTCACTCAATTGTTTTTTTCTTTAGTACTCTTTCTCCTACTATGCTTTAGCCAGAAATATTTTTTCAGAAACATTTTTTACAGGATTTTTACCACAAAAACTAGGAACTTACCAAGGAACTATGACTAAATGAGATCAGGAAAGATTGTTATGGGGGACTTTCATCACTGCTTTGTTCAGAGAATGTGGATGCAATTAAATATGTGTGTGTTTTATGCTACGCTTAGGGGGCAATTTCCCATGAAAATTGATTTTCACAGTCATAGGTTGCCAACGAAGTAAATTTATCTTAAACTCCAGAGGGATTTCTTCACACACACACACACACACACACACACACACACACACACACAATAAAGACTTTAATTTGCCTGAATGATTTATTGTGGTACTGCCAAAGGTGTGAGGAAACACCAAATCAATAGACTTCTAACCAATGTCCATGGAATCCCAGGGGCTCTTTGGAAGGCCAATCAGCCATCACTCAGTGTGCTTGTGTACACTGTGCCCTCATTGTTTATTGGGCATGTGCGTGCACATATGTGTGTGCCTGCTTTAGTAGTAGTGTTCTAGGAATCCATTCTCGTATCAGTAAAAGAAGAATGTACATCTATTTATGTGTCTAGGCTTCTGCACGTGGTTTTTACTTAGTAAAAGCTTGTAGAAGTGAACACTGGGAGATGCTGTTTGACTTGATACAAGAGGCCCTTGCCAGTTCTTTGGTGAGGGGGAATAGAGGGCTTGTGGTTTGGTTTTTTGAATTACTGAACAGTTGTTATGGGATCCATGGAGATGAGTTTAAAAATTCAATGAGAAGTTGATGCTGATTTTTTTTGGGGGTCCGGTTGTGGGGCCTGAACTCTGGGCCTGGGCACTGTCCCTCAGCTCTTCAGCTCAAGGCTAGCACTCTACCACTTGAGACACAGTGCCACTTCTGGCTTTTTTCTTTTTGCTTATGTGGTGCTGAGGAATTGAACCCAGGGCCTCAGGCATGCAAGGCAAGCGCTCTACCACTGAGCCACCTTCCCAGCCCCTGATGCAAATGCTGGATCCTAAAGATGGGGGAGGAGTTGAACTTCACTGAGTTTTCATGCCAAGGGACAGGCATGTAGGAAAGTCTAAGAGCTTAAGAAAAGACATCTCAGACATAAAAACTCACAGTGTTTAGATTTTTTTTTTTGCCGTTTCTTGTTTTCCTTACGGGTCAAAAATGATGGAAAAGTGTTAGTCTTTCTTGGAAGGTGAAATGATCCCAAAAAATGTCAGGAAAGGATGTGTGCTGAGATCAGTGTTTTATTTGTCGTGAATAATGAAACACATTTTTAATATTGAAAATCATGGGCAACAAAATAATTTTTCAACTGCTCACTATGATATTTAAACACAGGCCTCTATACCAAGTCTCCTTCCCTGCTCTGCCAACTACGTGCTGATGCTCAGAAAATTCACTCTCATGGCTCTTGTCTGCATGAATCCACAGGGCTTTCCTGGCTTCAGATCCTGTAACAGGCCAACCTCAACTCACTGGACTGGCATTTGGACTTTCACAGTGGAAAAGAACTCAGGAACATGGAACTCTTTACCATTACTGAAATGGTAATTGATGAACTAAATGGCATATGCTTAATAATAAAGTGACCCATGTAATTAGACTTTACTCATTGCCTATGTATGTCATATTGACAATGGCACCAAAGAAGCCTAATATATTCATATTAATTTGAACATTGAATGATGATTGGTCATTTCTTTGAAAATTCTGCCACAATGCCAAGTGCCAGTGGTTCACACCTGTAATCCTAGCTACTCAGGAGGCTGGGACCTAAGGATCATGTATCATGGTTTGAAGCCCTGAGTGAAAGAGCTACGGAAGAGATAGGCACTGAGTTCAAGTAACCATAGAACAAAAAAAGGAAGGAAGGAAGGAAGGAAGGAAGGAAGGAAGGAAGGAAGGAAGGAAGGAAGGAAG